GGGACATCCACGTCTAGTGTTTTAGATATCTGGGATCACCATGTCAACAGTCAAGAACAGAGAGACAGGAGGATTCATCCATGCTGCCTTCTTGCTGCATGTCTCCATGTGCTCAGCTAGCTTCCCTAACTTTTATGTCATGTAAGGCCCTGCTAGTGAAATGGTGCCACCTCAGTGAGTGGGGTCAGTTAACAGTCAAGCCAGTACCCCCCAGATATACCCACACGACAAATTTACCAAGATAATTTCTCAGCTGAGACTTACATGACAGACTAACCATGGCAATTTGCAAAACACAGCGTCAAAATATTCTGTTTCTAATTTTCGTTTTTCCATGAGAGAACTGAACCTTGGTAAGCTGATTTGGCCAGAACTATAGCTAACTAGAGATAAGACTACCTGAGCTACGTGAATCATAACATATTTAAAGCATATGCTTTCCTGTATAAAGTCAGATTGTGTTTGTACTTTTGGATTCAACATAAATTCCAGGAGAGAATGAATTTTGCTTTGTATACTTCTATACCCTCATCCTCTTAAACAAGGCCTAGCATGAGGCGAACATTAGGATACTGAATTGGTTACTACTTTTATAACAAAATACTACAGGTGACATCAATAAGGAGTTGTTAAGATTACAGTATTCTTTCTTGTGATCTACAGTTTAGGAAGTCTAGGATCTAGGTGCAGGAGATTTTATGTTCCCTCTCTATTCCAAGGGGATAACTGCTTTCTGCATCATGACACATTAGAACAACACAGAGATGTGCTCTATTCTCTGCCCGTGACAGAGAAGATGAAGAGACTCAGCAGCTCATTGACCTCCCTTTTTATAAGGCATCAATGCCTTTCACAAAGGCAGAGGTTCATAACCTAATCCTTGGCTGGAGGACTCACCACCTCCTAACACCTATACAATGTTGATAAGGCTACCAAGTGAATTTTGCAGGGATAAAACTTGCAAATTGTAGACATCATCTTCTCTTTGGGGGCTCTCTGTAGTAGAAGTCATATTTTTCTTCTATGCAGATGTCTAAGTGTATCTAAGCTCTTAGGAACCCAGGTGCACAGAGAATGGTGTGTGAGAAACACAATTCTTTCCAGGCAGCCTTTTGCTCTATCTTAGGATGAGTATGGGTAGCCATTTATTTGAAGGCCTAGTATAGTGAGAAAAATAAGCCTTTTCATATAGATGGATTCAACTTATCATCTCTAAATATACTTTCCACTCCTTCCCTATCTCATTATTTAAGTTTGCACAACTTATTTTTTCCAAGAAACTTAGTCATCTGCTCAGTAACCTTTGTGATATATTAAAAATTGAAGTTCCCTTTCTTCTGGAAATTTGAAGCATTCACTTTTATTATGAAGGATCTATGTGAAAACCAAAGAGAAACTCAGAGTTCATATAAAAAAGAATAATACTGTAATCATAACAGCTCATTATTTTGATGTTAAGCCTGATCTTTCACAAGGTTATTTCCTGGAGTGGAATATTAATGGACTCGGGCTCTCTTTATGCAGAAGAGATCTTAAATAACAGTGTTCATAAGGAAGGACATTAATCAGGGGAGAGAAGAAAACCTTGTTTCTAATAATGTTTGCATAATATCTACTCTTGGGTGTGTTGCTTGGCTTAAAAATAAGTAGCCATGCTTTCTGTATCCAACACAATGGAAAATATTTGTGGTTAGGATTCTGTTGTACAATCTTCTATGCATTGATGGGGAATATCAAACAGAGAGGCTTTTGGAGACTCATGGAAACAAAGAGTATCGCCCATGAATGATAGATGGTAGAGTTGAAAGAGTCCTTATTTAGAGGATTGGAAGTAAAGGACCTAAGAGCAAGTCATGATTCTGATTTCAGAAAGGGAGAGCGGGCTGGCCTGCTGGAGGACATCTGGATGCTCCTGTGGTTTGATTTTAACTCTTCAGTTGCTTCTTACCACCTGCAAGATGGAAAGAAGTACCAATTCAAGTATCTAATCCTGGCATACAGGAACTCACTCCGGCCGCCTGTGAAACTACAATACACGTGAAGTGGGGCTGCCTCTTTGCAGCTTCCCTCACGTACTGTGTTTTCAATTTCCATGTTTTTGTTCAGATGCTTCCCTCATTTTTTAAGGACTTTCCAAATCTTCTTTGCCAATTAGTTTTACTTATCAGGCATAGTCGGTTTAAATTTCCCATCCACAAAATCTTCTTTGGCTATATTGCTAGCCACAGGTCTTAGCTGCCCTCTCTTTTAGATGGATTGGTTCACATCTCTACACAGACTTTGCCCTGGAGATTCCTCTGTTGTCTTGATTTATTGTGTACACGTGTCGTGTTTGATTTTACACAGCTTTCTCTCTCCTTTTTGTGATCACTTATATTCTGAGAAAAGTTTCATATGGTCTTGGAAACAAAAGCTGGGCTGCTGTTTGATCTTGAGTGTGGGTTACAAGCCTGTATAAAGGTTCACTTCACAGTCAGAGTGGTCCACTGCAGCCAAGGGAGCATTCTTCAGTATGGAAATCCAGACTTACTTGTTTCTCCAAGCTGAAGTTGCTGATAGTTTTTCTCAACCTCCCCTTCCTTGTGATCTGTTATAGGGTTTCTGTCCTGAAAAAATACACCCACCTCTGTCCTTCCGATTTGAAATATACTGGGTTAGCAGAGTGTTACATGTTCAACTTCAAAGGCCAAGTTTACCCTTAGTTGAGAATGCTCTCTCTCTCTCGCTCTCTCTCTCTCTCCCTCTCTCTCTCCCACTCTGTGTGTGTGTGTGTTTATGTGAAATCACAGACATACTGAAAACTGCCCCTTCTATCTATTTATAAAGCTTTAAAAAAAAAAAAAACTTCAACCCTTGCTACAGAGGTGACCATCACAACTATTAGCTTTCTTTGCCAAGGAGGAAAAAAATGGCTTAAAATGTTCATGTTCAACAAATCATACAGAATTATGCCCTAGTCTATCACTATTTCCACAGCATTACAAACTTAGCAAGTGCTTTCTGCCACCTTCTGTGGGGGCCATGGAGCCTAGAAGATCTCCACCCAGGGTGAGTTCAATGCAGCAGTGGACAGAGGCCTGGATGGAGGAGCATGCATTGCTCTGTGCCTCAAGTGCCACTTCAGTCCCGGTATCAGGATCCTTATTTATAAAAGAGTGAGCCCCAATATTTCCATAGGTTCTTTAAACATATCCATTCCCTTTCCATCGTTTCAGTGTCTCTCCACTTTTTGCTTCTGTTTTTATGAAATAGCTGTTTGATAATTTCATGCATTTTACAATGCAGTCTCATTCCTCTCACCTCTGCCTCTTCCTCCCACCTTCTAGTCCCCCCCCACACACACACACACACTAGTCCCTTTGCAAGGTCATGTCCTTTTGTATGGCTTTGTATTCCTGTTGCTTTCTTTTCGGTCAGTTCAAGGACTAACGGATGAGCCTCTGTGTTATGTGAAGGCAGATTGGGTTCACAGGTGGTTCAAGGCTAAGTGTGCATTGCTTTTATAGCTTCTCCCAGTTTTTCCAGTCCTACACAATCTCCCCTCCTCTTTCTTGCCTCTTCCTTCCTTCCATGTCCTCTTCTCTGTAGGTTTTCAAAGCTTCTGCTTTGTAGCACTGAATGCCTTTGCTTACTCAGGACATTTAAATGTTCAGTAGAGAGTCAAAAGTGGCAGCCAGGATGCTCTCTCTCTCTCTCTCTCTCTCTCTCTCTCTCTCTCTGGTGGTGGTGATGGTGGTGGGTGTGTATACATGTGTTGTATGCATTCAGAGATAAACCAGGTCTGGTTGTTCAGGAACCATTCACCTAGTTTTTGAGGCAGGATAGTTCATTGGAACCTGGAGTTTGTGTAGTAGGCTGGGCTTGCTGGTTAACAAGATCCAGAAATTTGATTGTCTTCCCTCTCTTGCACTAGATTCACCACGTCCATCTTTTTTTTATGTGGATCTTGAAAATGAAACTCAGGCCTTCATGCATGCTTGCCCAGCAAACACTTTAATGAGTGAGCTATGGAGCCAGTGCTGTACGCCTTGTTTCTTGACACATGCTACTAGGCTTTAATTTAATTGTGTTGAGACATTAATTAAATAAGAACAAAAATGGTACAGTGTAAATGTAAAATAAACTTAGATTATTTTTCTCCTAAAGTGATGTGACTTGAAAGGCTGAGTCCATTCTTTGAATAGTTTCCAAACTGATACATTTTCTTTTCTGGAGGCATCAGTTCTATAACAATGCAGGTAGCTGCCTTTAGCAAGCAGGATTGTCTTTAGATGTGCAGGTACTGCTTTTATTAACACAATTTTCTTATTTATTTTCTATATCCTACATGCATAAACTATTAGAAATTTTAATTTTTCTTTCTAAAGCTGCAAGTATCTTACAAATAAGTTAAGTTACAAAAGACCTAAAGGCTTATTTTCATCATGATCACCTTTGATTTTAAGGTCAAATGTGATTATTCTCCCCAGAATACAACTGAAAGGTGATTTCATTCTGTATCTCTAATCCTCTTAATCTCTTATCCATGGAATAAGATGGATTCCTAACTGAAATGGTTGGAGATATAGTGAATCTTTAGAGAACAAAGCAGAAGGACCCGACAGAGGAACCACAGTGATTAACCCTTTCAGCTAGCCCAGAAAGCCTAGACTTTCACTTTTGTGGTTGTTGAAACTGAGGCTCACAGGTTTGAATGTTTTGTCCAGTGTTCCGCACCTCTTAAGGTCAGAGCCAAGATTTTAATCTAATAAAACTCCAAATTTTACATTACCTTTTCAGTATCAGGATGAGGCAGGGTCAAGAACGTACTGTAGTAATGTATATGATTGGTGTTAGGGTAGGAAAAGACTTGGAGATGGGACTTTTATCTGTTTAACAAAGAATCCTTGGTTCCTGTCTTCAGTATAGATTATGTCTCGTAAATATGGAATCATTTCATCTGTAACTTCCCATTGAAAGGGTCTTCTACTAATGAGACATCTCTCTTTTGTCTTTCACAGCAATTTTGCAGGCAGTAATAACTGGTGATCTTATGAAGGTAAGCTATCCTCCTGCCAAAACCTTGGTGATCGCCTCTCCAGATTTTCATGGTCCAGTCTATAAACTACTCCCCCTGCCTGCACTTGCTGAGCAGAAGGAGGAAAGATGCTCTTCTGAGAAATGAACTGAGAGAATGAGACTAGTCCTCACCACGCTCTGCATCTCCTAATATCAAAGGAAAGTGGTAGAATTCCCTGGACTCGCCTTGGTTAGTTATGGGGGGAAAAAAAGTACTGTATTCCCAGGATGCAATACACAGAGTGCCTAGAATCCCTGCTCTTTAAGACAAACCTTTGAAGGCTTCTTTTTGAGATGTGTTTGTGAATGAATACATATGTAGAAATGACCTGGATGAGACCCAGAAATGCATGCACCAGCTTAGAACCAGCACCTGTTGATTTAGTAGTCTACTTTAGATGTCACAGCCAACAGAAAATGGACAGTCTAGTCTGTTGGGGGTGTTTCAGCTTGAGCTTGTGTTTTCTGGTGAATTTAGTTCACAAGGAAGGAAATGATCACCATCTTCTGAAAACAAATGTCAGTTCTGAAGTTAGATTGCCTGATTTCAGCTCTTGCCTCTGTCCTCACTCTATGTGCGATTTTATGCCTTTAGCACGTTTTCTCAGTGCCTTGATTTCTTTCTCTGTAATAGAGAAATATAACAGAATAGCTGTGTTATTTCTTTCTTGGTTTGTCAGAGGATTGGGTGCAATCCTGTGATAAGACTGCCAATACTGTTCATATTGCAGCAAAAGGTGCCTAAAATGTTAACTGGCTTAGTCTTGCTATTCAGTATTAATCTGTCTTTTTTTCTAACAATGTAGTTATTAAAAAATATTTGCCAGAATGTATTCTGTGAGTATTCTAAACAATCTGACTGCCCTTGGGTTATTTGTGCTGGGGTCTCATGACTACCTCTAAGTCCCTGTGTTGTGTAATGGCACTAGTTGCCTCTGTAAGGTGTGTTAGTTAGGACTTTATTGTTGTGAAGAGACACCATGACCATGACAACTCTTATAAAGTAAAACATGTAGTTCGGGTGGCAGCTTAGAGGTCAGAGGTCCAGTCTTTTATCTTCATGGTGGGGAACATGGCAGCAAGCAGACAGACATGGTGCTGGAATCATGAGAATGCTGCATCTTGAAGGCAACAGGAAGTTGACTGACTGACACACTGAGGGAAGTTTGAGCAAAAGAGACATTAAAGTCTGTCCCCACCGTGACACATTTCTTCCAACAAGGCCATACTTCCCAATAGTGCCACTCCCTTTGGGAGCCATTTCCTTTCAAACCACCACAGTGGGGAACATACCTTACTCCTCAGCCCAGGAACAGTACAGGCTGAGAAAACCAAAGGCCATAAAAGGAAGGAAGGTGAGAATTACTTTTTCTTCTTTTTCCTGTCTAGATTTTTCCCCTTTCCATTTTCTCTTCTTTTTTCCTTTCCTTTTCTTCTTTTCTTTCCCTTCTGTTTTAAGAATTCCCATTGAATGAACCAAAGAATGCCTGTTCTATATCTTCAGCACATCACTAGCAGAAAGCAAACTGAGAGAGAGAAAGGGTTGCCTATATATGGGTCAATTTCAGGCTCACTCATATGATTCTGACCACATGCTGCCTGTACTGTTTTCTACTGTAGTGTTTGTTCCTGGGACTGTTATTCAGAAGAGAAGCCTCTTCCCTAAATAGGATTTCTGGAAGTTCAGAGTTGCTTCCCTTCAGTGGCCTAGCCAGCATATCATACAATCCTTCAAGGACTCACTCACCTTGGATTCTATGGGAAGCAAGCACAAGCCTTGCCAAACACTGCTAATCCAGTTTGCAATCTGAAGATCTTTCCACATGCTTTCATTATAGCCAAAGAACTCCCCAGATTCGGGATGTATTGTTACACATTCTAAAATGTTTTACATAGAATTGCTTAAAATATGAGAAACCACTAGATCTAGCTGGTTATCCTGGCACGATCTGCGTTATAATTATTCCCTATCTGAGGAGTGACTCAACAATACTGTATTTACTATGAGATGAGATACAGAAAATGGAGGATTTTCTTTTTCAGTCCTTTCTCTTTGTGTGTGTGTGTGTGTATATATATATATATATATATATATACACAATAGCATTGTAGAATGCACAATACATATTAAATATTAAACAGGCTTTGTATGAAACGGGTAGTGGGAGGAGATGGGCGAGCAGACTCCAGGAGCAGACTCAGGCAGTGAGGATATGTAATCCCTAAATTCAATTGCTAATGGGCTGACTTTTAGACATAGTATACAACCTTCCCAAAGGCAGGTTCAGGATAGCCAATCCTTACTTGGTCTGGGTGCATCTGAACACAAGACATTTATAGTGGAACACAGCAAGATTCTCCTTTGGATCTGCATGCTGTTTCTTCCTGTTCTCTTGCCCTCAAGCTTGGGGCTACAGCTTTCCATAGTTCTTGTACTTCTAGCACCTCAGAGCATCTAGTCTTCTTAGTTGAGTTTCTAGATACTTTTCCGTGACTTTTTTCTAAAACTCTGCTTCTTCTGGTGTCCCTCTGCTGTCCTCATACTGTCTCGCTGTAACTAACGTTTCTGTTCTTCCTATGGGATTTGGAGGCCTCTGAGGCTGCTGACCGAGTCACATTCTTATTGCTCATGTGTTTGTATTTCTTGAGACCTGCTCTGTTGGTAGATTCTTCTTTGTCTCCATAAAATAATAATCTATGAAAAGCTGCACCAAGGCTACGCCTATCCTGATACTCCACAGTTTGGAAAATGGTGACACATTTATACTCACGAACTAGGTCTACAACTTCATTTGTCCTCCCACCCTCTTACTCTCTGGTGGCTAAGTTCTTGGCTTTTACCACTGGCTGTTCTCATAGAGAAACAATGGCATTCACAGCATCATTTTGGTCCTCTTTATTGCTTGATCATCTCTGGCCATGTTGAGTATGTACTGCTTGATTCATAAAAGGTATTGGGGTGAAAATGAACCATCCTCCGAGTGTGTGTGCATTCACATGCATGTGCACATGTATGTGTGTATGAGTGCTGTGTGCAGAAAAATGAAGCATTTGGTAATTGTATTCATGACAAGTTGAAAAACAACTAAGGATACAGGAAAGGAACCTTGAGGGTCAGAGCCAGGTTCTTCCTGCTGTAACATATGCTGGATGAACCTCAGGAAATTTTAGTTTTCTTCTCAATGTCTGGGGCTCAGAAGAGGGGAAGAAAGCTAATTCAACATATTTCCTGTTTCCTTGAGCTATTTGATACCCACAGACCCTTTCCGGAGCCATGTGAAGCATTAACCATCTATGTGAGTGATGAAGGGATGGTACTTCATCACTCTGACTTCTCTCTGCGTCCTGTGCGGCTAAAAACATGTGTGGTTTACTAACTGACTCTTCTGTGTGACCTTGGGGCTTTTATCCCTGCTCTGGACTCCACTGACGTTCTCTCCCTGTGTCTCTTCCTTTCAGCTCATAGAAAGCTATAAGAACGGAGGCAGTTTGTTAATTCAGGGACCAGACCACTGTTCACTCCTTCACTACGCAGCTAAAACCGGCAATGGGGAGATTGTGAAGTACATCCTTGACCATGGTGAGTCGGGAACCTACCAGGGATCACTTTCCCATGGAGTTCTAGATAGCATTGTCTGTGTTGACACTCAACCAGGAGATCTCCACGGTGGAATATACACCCGTTGTTTCTCTGACACCCACTGATATGGGTGGGCCATCTTTACCAAGCAAAAAATAAACTTTTTTTTTTTCAATATCCAGATTTAGAAAGGGAAGGCTTTGGGGAAGTAATTCATTTAAAAATCAAAAAGCTTTCTAAAATTAGTTCATTGCTAGGTGCTTTGGTGAACGCCTTCAATCTCAACTGTCAGGAGGCAGAGTCAGGTGGATTACTATGAGTTTAAGAGTTTAAGGATAGCCTGGTCTACATAGTGAGTTATAGGCCAGCTAAGGTGACATAGCAAGACCCTCTTTCAAAAATAAATAATTAAATAAAATTAATTTATTTTAAAAATGTATATTTTTGTTTTTATTGTATAAATGTTTTGTTTGCCACATGTGTGCCTGGACCTTCTGGAGGTCAGAAGAGGGCATCAGATATACCGGAAGAAGAGTTATAGTCAGCTGTGAGCAACTGTGTGGGTACTGGGATTTGAACCTGGGTCCTCTGCAAGAGCAGCCAGTGCTCTTAACCACTGAGCTTTCTCTCCAGTCCCTAACTTTAATTTATTTAATGAATTAAAATTTGTATTAACAAAACATAGCCTGACATAGCTGCCTTTATTTTGTAGAGCCTTTCATAAATTAACTGTTTGGGCTCTGCTAGTCCATCTGTATTTGTGGTTGATTCTTCTGCAGATTCCTGTATTTGTTCTATCCCATTTTTCTAATTTCTTAGTTTTCGTTGATTGACTCTCATTTGTCTCTTCTCCCAACTCACATTTCATGGTGCTGCCACGTCTCATGTGGCTGCCAGGTCTCACCTCCTGGAGTGTGTCCTAACTGGTCCTATGTACCATGTGGCTGCCAGGTCTCACCTCCTGGAGTGTGTCCTAACTGGTCCTATGTACCATGTGGCTGTCTGACAACACCTCCTGGACTGTGTACTAACAACTGAGCTTCCAGCTTAGGCTTAGATCATTCCCAAGATGGAGAGCTCATTGTTTAACATCTGATTCTAGAGTCCAGTGGAAATATAATTACACACATGGAACACAAACCACTCAGCTTCTTGCATTATATTATATATAATTGAGCTCTATATTTTTCTTTGCATCCCTCCATGCCTCTCCTCTACCTTCAACCCTCTCCCAAGGTCCCCATGCTCCCAATTTACTCAGGAGAGCTTGTCTTTTTCTACTTCCCATGTAGATTAGATCTATGTATGTCTCTCTTAGGGTCCTATTTGTTGTCTAGGTTCTCTAGGATTGTGACTTTTAGTCTGGTTTTCTTTGCTTTATGTTTAAAAACCACTTGTGAGTGAGTACATATGATAATTGTCTTCCTGGGTCTGGGTTACCTCACTCAAAATTATGTTTTATAGCTCCATTCATTTGCCCACAAATTTCAAGATGTCATTATTTTTTTCTGCTGTGTTTTCTCCATTGTGTAAATGTACCACATTTTCCTTACCCATTATTTAGCCGAGGGGCATTTAGGTTGTTTCCAGGTTCTGGCTATGACAAACAAAGCTGCTATGAATATAGTTGAGCACATGTCCTTGTGGCACAATTGAGCATCCTTTGGATATATACCCAAAAGTGGTATTACTGGGTCTTGAGGAAGGTTGTTTCCTAATTTTTTGAGAAATCACCACACTGATAACCAAAGGGGCTGTAACAGCTTGCATTCCCACCAGCAATGCAGAAGCGTTCCCTTTACCCCACATGTTCTCCAGCATAAGTTGTCATCAGTGTTTTTGATATTGGCCATTCTTACAGGTGTGAGATGGAATCTCAGAGTTGTTTTGATTTGCATTTCTCTGATGGCTAAGGATATTGAGCATTTCCTTATGTATCTTTCAGCCATTTTAGATTCCTCTGTTGAGAGTTCTCTGTTGCTAGAATAACTAGATATCAACATGTAGAAGAATGACAATAGATCCATATCTATCACCATGCACAAAAATCAAGTCCAAATGGATCAAAGACCTCAACACAAAACCGGCCACATTGAACCTCATAGAAGAGAAAGTGGGAAGTACACTTAACACATTGGCACAAGAAACCACTTCCTAAATATAACCCCAGTAGCACAGACACTGAGAGAAACAATTCACAAATGGGACCTCCTGAAACTGAAAAACTTCTGTAAAGAAAAGGACATGGTCAACAAGACAAAACGACAGCCTACAGAATGGTGATGGAGGAAGGTCATTGGTTAAATAAAAAGAAACTGCTTGGCCCTCATTGGTTAGAAGATAGGTGGGAGGAGTAAACAGAACAGAACGCTGGGAGGAAGAGGAAGTGAGCTCAGACTCCACAGCTCTCCTCTCGGGAGCAGATGCCTCAGAGAGATGCCATGCTCCCAGCTCCCAGGCAGACGCACGCGATGAAACTCCGACCCAGGATGGACATAGGCTAGAATCTTCCCGGTAAGCGCACCTAGGGGCGCAACACAGATGATTAGAAATGGGCTAAATTAATATGTGAGAATTAGCCTAGAAGAGGCTAGATAGAAATGGGCCAAGCAGTAATTAAATGAATACAGTTTGTGTGTTGTTATTTCGGGCATAAGCTAGCCAGGCAGCCGGGGTGCTGGGGACGCAGCCCCACCGCCCTTATTACTACAGAATGGGAAAAGATCTTCACCAACCCCATGTCAGACAGAGGTCTGATCTCCAAAATATACAAAGAACTCAAGAAATTGGTCATCAAAAGAACAAATAATCCAAAAAAAAAAAAAACCTGGAGTACAGAGCTTCTTTCATTTATAATGAGACTAGAGATAGAGAAGAGTGGGGGGGGGGGGGTCAGAAAGAAAAAATGCCTTCCTTGGAGGTGTTTAAGAATAAGTGGAAGAGACTGTCAGTGAGACCCAGGTCTGTAGAAAGCCTAAACAGCTTCCTTGGAGCACTGAAAGTGAGCCTGCTAACTTCGCACAGACACCAAGTCGTCTCTCCAGCCCCTCAAGCTTACTTCCTCTGCACAGGCATTTCAGCTGTGCATTAGCAGATTAATGAGTACTCTTATCCACTTGTTTCTCTTTTTTTGCCAGTGGGAACGTTTGCATTTTTCCACTTGTTCCTTCCTTCATTCTTTTGACAAATCCACATGGCGTGTCTATCAGGAACTGCCTGCTATAGGCGGACTCACTTAAACATGCACTCAAAAGCAAATGCATCCGATCTTTTCAGGCCAAAAAAAAAAAAAAAAAGAACCCACAATTAGTGTACAAATAAATCCAATGCAATTGAATGTGGATGTTTTAGGTCTTACTATAAAGCCATCCACAAATAGCACAGCTACCATTTTTCAAGCTCATTTACATCTTATTTACAAGATGCCTGTACAGAACACACCACTTGATTTCATCTTTGTGGAGACCTCATAAGGTGGCTAGCAGGCTGCCAATCATCTGAGACTCTCCTTCCTTCGTCTTTCTCACTATGATGAGTTTTGCTTCAATTCTTGGCCAGAGTCATGGTTCAAGGGCTGGAAGGAAAGGCTGTGAAGTTGGTGTCGTGGGCGCTGGAGAATGGCTTTTCCCAGGAGAAGGGTAGTTTCACTCCCGCCTGTCTTAGAAGGATGGGCTGTGGTGCTGAGTCTGCTGTGGGCATCATTCCTTCTCTTCTCCTGACTATCCACCCACTATGCTTCAGGAAGAGACTTGCGAATGAGACAGTGGCCTGATTGCTGCTGCACGCACACACATATGCCAGAGGTTTCTTCTCCTTTCTGCGGCAATTTCTTCAAAGGGCTGATGAGAGGCAGAGGCAAATTTTGTAATATTGCATGTGGACACCAATTAAATCCACCCTCATCTATGGGACTTTTTCCTTTTAAGAAAAGAAAGTCCTCAGTATTTGCACAAAGTCCAGATAGTGGTCATCTGATTTGAGACTGCCTAGCCTGGAATTCTTTAGGCAGGCTGGCCTCAAACTTGTAGCAATCCTCCTTCTTCTTTCTTCCAAATACTGGGATGAGAGGTGTCCTCTGTCATTCCCAGATAACTTGTGCATTTGTAAATCATAAACTGTCTTTGAATCATCCACCTCTCTGAAATGATGGGAAGCCCTCTAGTGAGGTGTTCTTCAGGTCACGCAGAGATAAAAGGGAAGCGTTACCTTGGGCATACTTGGTCCTTGGAACTTTTTGAGCTCTTTGCAGACTAACATAATCTCTTCATGCTTGGTAGTACTGGAGAATAACACAAATGTTTATGTATACTGAAAATCTCTTGACGTTCCTGTATGTGTATATGCACATAGCAGCTTGGCTCACATCTCTCTGATAGCTTTAGATAATAGAGATTCCACAGGTTTTTCAAAGATCTTGTTATAGGGATGCCACCAGGGATGACTTAGACATAATTTAGAGCCAACTGCAAGTCTGTATTGCAGCTAGCTGGGGCTGCACTCAGGTCTTTGGGATGTAAGTGTAGCCCCAAGCATTTGGACCAATGGGGCTTTAAAAAGCAAAAGCAGTATCTCTCTCAGCAGCTGCAGCAAGAGGTTTGCACAAGCAAGCAGTTTAACAGAAGCTAAGTTACCGGGGCCATCTTGGTCTCAGGTCCTAGAATAGAGTTGAGTAACTTTTCATTGGATTCTCCATCAAGTTGATCAAATTCTAGTTAAGTCTGAAATGGCCTCAGCAAGAATTTAAGATGGAGGAACCTCTGCACTGCTTGATCTTCTGCCTGTTCTCAGCCTTTTCTGACAATGATTATTAGGAACTCCTGGGCTCTTTGCAAGGTACCTAAGTCATATTCTGCATGGTCCCCTGAGGTGGCTCTCAACTCACCACATCCTTTCTGCTCTGAGCTCCGGTCTGCTTTGTCCCTTCATTGGATGCTGATCCCCAACCAGGAGGACCTCATTCTGATCCAGAGTCCCAAGAGATGAGTTACCTCAAGCCCCCG